CTGTTTTCGGCATTCGGGAATCCAAGACTTCGACTTTGTGCCTTGCCACTGTGTCTGCGTCCGATCCTCAGTCCGAGTCCGTCGTGTCGAGTGAGTGAGTGTGTGTGTGTGCTCTCACTCTCCCCCTCTCTCTCCTCTCCCTCGGCTCACCCTCAGCCTCACGCTCGTTACACCGGCAGGCTGCTCTGGGTCGTACACTATACCTGAACTCCGAGTTGCAGATCGCGCATCCAATCTGTCTAAGTCTTGAGAGAACTCTGGTTGTGATCATCGTCCTAACTGCGACATTAAATAATTCTTGAGGAGTTATGGGGGATCTCCTTAAATGCCTCCTGATCAGCAAGTAGTTTTGTAGTGACAGACTAGTAGCAGTATAGTCTTGAGTAGTTGACAGAGGGACAATTGGAAGCCAAAGCCAGACAAGATTGAATTGTGGGTGCATAGGCATCCGGCGGTTGTGGAAAGATTGGACTGTGGTTGCGAAAGCATCCGACGACAGTGGTAGCCTGGCTAAGGTGTAAGAGAGAACCTCTGTAGTCCTCTAAGCGGTCAGTGTTTAGGAGGGTTGGTCTAAGTGTTGAGGAGCGGAATCGTTTGTGATTGTGCCCTCGTCCAACATGGCCGACTACCCTATGTTCGCCTTTATGATGGGCCTCTCCCTTTGGGGGCCCTTGCTCCGTTTCCTCTTTCCGTTGGGATTCTGGGGGACCATGTGTTGCACTGTGATCACGAAGTCCGGAGTCCAAACCCTGCCATATAGTAAAGAACAAGAGGAGAAGGTTGCCGCAATTCTTCGAATGCGGAAGAAGAGAAAGGAGAAGAAAGCCTTAGAGAGACAGACCAAGAAACTGGTCGTGCTGGAAGAAGAAGCGGCCAGAAAGAAAAAGATGGAGGAGGAGATGGAGGCGTGTAAGAAGGAACATGAGGCGAAGTTGGCCAAAGAACTGGCCGAAAAAGAAGAAGCGAAGAGAGAGAAGGAAGTTGTGAAGGGACCAAAAGAAAGGAAGGAGGAGAGAGGAGAAGCAAGTACAGGTCTACCCCCACCGGAAGAGGTGGAGAAGGTTGTGAAGGAATGGGTGTCAGGACTATCCCTGGGGGAAGACAGGGAAGCAGAGTTGGTTGTCCCCCAGGTAAAAAGAGAAACAGTGAAAAGAGAGCTGGAGAAAGAAAATAGTTCCTTGGGTCGTCAGGCAAAAGAGCAGGAGAAGCAGTTGGAGTGGAAGTTGCGCCTCGCAAAGGAGAAGACGAGGCGATTGGAAATGGCCGATAAGATGGAGGAGGAATTGAAGGCGGCAATGGCTGGGTAAGATGAAAGAAGAGTCGGAGATAGGGAATCATATTGACACCCTCTCCCATAGTATGGCCTCTGTTCTAGCAGCTCAGCAAGAACAGATAAGGCACCTTCGTGGGCATGATATAGCACTTGAATCCATACGAGCTGGGTTCCACGACTTTGCCCAGTAGATGATGATTCACCTCATAAATGAAATGCAGACCGCAATTGGTAGAACAAAGAAGTTTTGCACCGGTGTGATCGAGGGTGTCAAGTTGGCAGTCCCCAAGGAGGAAGAATCACAACCCCGCTGTGAGAGAGTCAAAGTTCACTTACCTGAGTCCTACAGTGGGACAAGAGGTGAGGACTTTGACAATTGGGAGGCTAGTATTAAATCATATCTGTACTTACAAAACACGCCTCCCAATGACCATGTCTTGATAGCCTTTCAGGCCTTGAGTGGTGAAGCAACTAGTTTCACCAGGTCCCTCGCACGAGCCACCCGCTGCAAAAATGATATGGTCGTTTATTATGCCATTACCAACCTCAACGATTTCTTTGTTGCACCGCGAGAACGTTTTGCGGACGTCACTAGAGGACTGAAGGCGTCCGTCAAACTCCAGATGAACCATATGCGGCCTTGGAAGAGTGTGCACGCACTGAAAGTCGCTATGGACGAACTGATTGTTGTTCCTGGCCATGGAGTTTTATAGAAGCACGGTTAGTCCATCTCTTCTATTATGCGTTGTCCAAGCAATTGCAAGGCCACTTCTTTAACAAGAGGCATAAGCCTGGGATAAGCCTGGGATAAGCCTGGGATGAACTACGACCTCCTCAGTAGAGAAGCTGTTGCCTTCGCCGCCCAGCTCTCCTTCTCTATTGAGGCATGGGCTAGGCGGCGAACATGGTCAGGCCCCTATAGTCTGTACATGGTCTTAGTTCGGCCTCCTTCTTAGGCACGAACAAAACTGGTGCGCGGTACAGGGACGAGTTTGGCTTGATCCAACCCTTCTCCACTAACTCCCTTGGGTGTTTTGCTATCGGGTGTGATTTTTATTCAGTGCTTGATCTCCCTCTCTGTCACACCTATTGGTGCCTCTTCTAACTCTACAAACTGTTTCAACAGACCTTTGTTCAGGGGCGGCAACTTTTCATTGTTGTTTGTCTCAGTTTGCTCTCCCTTCTTTCCTTCAATAGGTACATGTTTTGTTAGGGACATGAACACTTGTTCAATCAACTCTCGCTTGACTACGTATCTTGAGAACGCAGGTACACTCATGCAGCACACTGACAGTGGGGTGTTCAGTCGTGACTCGTGGTAGAGGTGGATTGGTCTCTTAATTCCCTCCTTGTCTGGGATTTCGTAGACTTTCCTCTTCATACTACCGTCTACATCTTCCTTCGCACCCCCCATCTCAATTTATTCATAGGAGAGCGCATCTCCTCCTCCTTCCTCATAGGTAAGAAGCAAGTTATCTTTGTCCCTCACTTTGTATGATATTGTCTTCCACCTGAACTCCTTCCCTTGGGACAGATCCTTCAACATGGGGAAACATTTAGGCTTCATTTAAACCTCTATCTCTAAGGCCCCTTCTTTTAGAAAGCGTCATAGGTCGGTACTGCCTATCTAGCTTCTACAACAAAGCTGTTCGTTATCGCATCACTCAAGACCAGGGCTGAGTAGTGGAGGATCAGGGGTCTCTGTCACACCATGGTTGGGGACCTGCTCGTAACCGTCTATCTTAGCTTGCAAGTTTGCTACACTTTTTTAGTGGTACTTCTCTACATTAAGTATGGCGTCAAAGGATTTGAAAGCTTCTTTCGTATCTGTAAATCTTTCCTTCAGCGCCCTCGTAAAATCCTCGAAGTAGGTATTCTAGGAAAATGCTATAATAGTATAATAATGTTACTCCCAAAAAAAAACATGAAGCTTGAGCCAATAGACGCAGCCAAGCGAGCGCATCTCTTTTCATCATCATACTTACTACTGCTATCTTGTCGTCCTCCTCAGTCCTTCGTACATACGTGTAACTTCTGATTGCAGCCTCCCAACCTAACAGATCTTCATCCTGCCTCCCATGATAAGTAAAGGGGAGTTTCACGTTCATTCTACTCTTGTCTCCATGTTGGTTGTTTTATCCACCAGTGGTTCCTTTTCCCTTTCCTCCACCCTTACCATATTTTGTTCCATCTCCTCTCCTCGTCTTCCTCCTCCATGGCACCCTTGTCTCTCCTCGTGTATTCTCCTAAAGAGTTCTATGAGCGAGTCGGCATTTCCTTTACTCAACCCTTTAAACTACCGCTTTGTTTCCCTTCTCTACTCCTTATGCAGTTTCGGACTTATGCACGTCTGGCACCAATGCACTCAGTATTATCTAGGGTTAATGGTGGCTATGGTCGCATCTCCTTCTATCTCCTTTGCTGCTATCTTCACATTGAGGCTAGCATGCAAGGCTTTGGTTTAAGCCATGATTTTCTGTTGCTGCTCCAACTCCTCCTTCCTCTTCTCTTCCTGCTTTAACTTAGTCTTCAAGTCACTGCTATTTGCCTCACCCTGGCTGCTATCCTCTGCTATCTACTCTTCTTCTTCACTTTGCAGCTCAGGGCCGTAGGCAACATCCATAAAATGTTGTGCCATCTCTTCCTTTAACCTTCCCTCCATCTCCTTTCTTTCTCCCTCCTAGCAGTGGTTCCTCTTCCTGCTCCCCATTTGGTTCTTCCTGCACAACTGCCTTGCTTTTGTCTTCTTCTCTTCCCCCAACTCTTCCGTCACCTTTGCCTGTTCCTCCTTCCCGACATCCTGCTTCTCCTCGCTTTTCCCTCCTCCTTTCTCCTTCCTTTTCATTTTCCTCTCCTCCTTTTCCTTCGAGGTCTTCTCCAATGCTAGTTGTTTGAGTACATCGTATTCAAGGTCAACTGGGTCAAACACAAAGGATTCCATCCTGCAAGATCTTTGCTTTTGTACAGCTCATGCGAGAGAACCCGAGAGGGAAGAGATACATGAGTAGTGGTTGGAGAAGAATAGAGAGGGTGATAAATGCAAACATCTGGTTCTCATCCATGGCTGTCGACAACACAACAGTCTGTCACAACTCGACCATTACACTACCTCAGCATGTAGGCCTGCCAACTAGAAGACCCAAAATTTGTTGACTTTGCCCAAATTGTCGACACTTGAACACCCATTGCCCAGCCAACCGGCAGTTTAAGGACTGGCTGGCACAGTCCTCAACACTGATTTAACATCACAAACAGGAGAACAGGGCTGGACAGGGTCAACACTCCCCCTCAACACATATCTATGGTCATGGTAACATGGTTCACCGCTCACTGACCATTACCAATCTCATGGCTACACAGGTTGTTTAAGGGCCGCCCACCGCTCATGCCCGTGAAGTTACTTTTACTCGCTTTGCCTTCGCCAGGTTGACCCCACCTATCTACAAAATGCATCACCTACCTGACCGACCTAAGACCTATGACGACCAGCAGCAAAGTCACCAAGAACAAGACTAGAAAACATTGATGCGGAATCGACAACATGCAAGGCTAGGGTTAAGAGGTGCTCCGCTGCAATAGCTTGATGCTGATGCTCCGCGGTTGCTCTCCAAGTTACAGCCGCTAGCTGAGGCTTCTTCCCCAATCTTGACCTCTTCTTCTTCGGCCTAACCCTAACCTCTCACCCTTTACCTTTATTTCTCGCTCGCTGGCCTTACACATTACACACCGGCTTGTCACTTGGGCACGCGTACGAGAGGTAATGAGTGTTTGCTCGGATACCAATTGCTTTGAGACCATCCATGTGCAACACATTCACACCGAACTCACACCATGGAAGTCCATACCCTACGAAGCACACACAAGATGGAAACTTGAAGATAGTCTTGGCCAGTCAACGCAATTACACAAAATGTCTTTGTAAGTTTGGACATGGTGGGCGAGCTACTAGGCAAGCTCTCTCAGTTATGGTCTCTCTCCCTCTCTCTGAGAGATGGTTAATGGAAGACCCAAAATTCGGGGTTTTTTGCCGCATCACCACAGTTTCGGTGAAAATTTCGCCGAAAATGACACCACCTATTAACCATAAGTGCCATTGACTACTTCCTTCTGCAGTGCACAACAGAGTATCCCAAAACAGTGCAGCGGCTCATCCACCTAGTCACGCAAGTGAATATGTGTTGAAGACTTCAACAACTGTACTTCCGTACCTGATGATTTGCCTTCTGGACTTCCTCTACCGGTTATGGGACGGTACCCTCTGCCTTTGTTTGTGACTTCCAGAAGTTCTCAGACTTTCTTGGGACTTTGCTGCGGACTGGACCAACTTGACGGAAAGGGCCTACCGACTTCTACAGACTTTTCCTAGGTCGACTGGTACCAACAGGGATCTTCCTACAATGGCCTACTGACACTAACCTACCTGGGACTAGGGAATATGGTGCATGCGACTGACACTAGGGCTGGAACTGGGACTGGGACTGGGACTGGGACTGGGACCTGGTTGACAGCATTGAAATTTGAAAGCCTTTCAATATAATGGCAGGAGCGGACTTCCCAGTTGGGCCCAATCGGTATCCGTCAGGACAAAGTGGGAATCACTTGGAAGACCTGCTCCCTTTCAGGGAGAGATAAGAGGGAGGACCAGGCTTCCCATGTGGGCCCTATTTGTACCCGGTCAGGACAGATTGGGACTCTCACAAAACCTGCTTCTCTCCTCCTCCTCCTCCTCCTCCTCCTCCTCCTCTGCTGCTTGGGTTGAATCGAAGTTGCCAGAACATACCCAGAGTGTTCCCCTTTCTCGTTTGTTTTCGTTTTAGCCTTTTTTGTTTCTGGTTTCTCTTTCGGAATCTTCGTTGTTTGCAGTACAAGATATAAATATGCTCATATTAAATAAGGCTAGATCAAATTGGTCCTTCTGATGCCTGTCCCTCTCACCCCTCCCTTCAGTCCCTTCTATCATCCTCTAAGTCGCTGATTTCCGATGCAGTGAAGTGGAACGCATCAAGGACACTGAGTCAACGAAGCTGAGTTTTTTGGAACGCACATACCAGCAGGAGATCAATACTCATGGCATCGTCGGATATCCTGTGTACACGTACGTGCAAGGAGACGATTTCGTACAGAACATGGAATGGGAGGAGAGAGTCACAACGAGCAAGACTGAGAACGAGAACTTCTTGGTGCAACGAATGCTTGGGCGCCAGGATGGGTCCCGAAGGGGAAGCAGACGCTCCCAGATACATCGGTACCAGACAATGTACATCTGTGCGACTTTGGGAGAAGCAAGGTAAGTAGAAAATTAAAAACAAATTCACTAATTTAGGTCATAGTATTTTACTATTTTTGTTTCTAAGACCGGATGTGGGCTTCTCTGAGTCTCTCAACTTAGAGCTATACTAAACACCAAGGATAATGTATACCTCAAGGATGAAAAATTTAGGTCATATGTAATACCTCACATGAGGTATAATACTATAATTTGACTGATTTGATTTGCATCTGGGTTGTGCTTGGCATTTTTTGCAATTACCTCATCACGAGTTCACGCTGTCTCACAAGACCATGCAAGCTCACACTCATCACCCGAAGTTCCGCATATGAGATGCAAGATAAACGCAATAAGAGATGAGAAATCTGTGAGGCTTCAGGGCTCCGCAGGGCCCAATAAGGACCACGCGTACAAAATGGACACGGCCCTAAGCGAAGGCCCGGGTGAGAAAAATGCCACCAGGACTTCTGGGAGGCTGGCGTAAGGTAGTTGGGAGGAAGGACTGGACGCAGCCTCTCCAAGTAACGGGTACACCCAGCCTCCCAGTTAGTTGGAGAGGCTGAGGCCCATGCACCAGTGTGGAAGCTTCTCGGAAGTTCCCAGACTGGTGTGCGAGCCCGGTCTCAGCCAGGCTGCCGCAGCCTCCAGGAAGTGACAATAGGAAGGAGGCCGCAGGGTTCCACACATTTGGGAGGCACTGGCTGCTGGCACCATCTCTAAAGCAAGCGAATGCGGCCATGCCCTGAAGCATTGATGAAGGAGAAGGGGAGGAGCAGCCGTGGGCAGCTGCTCCTGCTTGGCGGCAGCCATAGCTGCGCCAAGGGGGAAGAAGGGGCACTGGTGCTGGGGTGATCAGGGGAATCATAGTACTGGGAACAGGCGGCCTTATTTGGTGATGGCCAATGAGCGCACTTGGAGCAGTCAGACTTTGCAGCATTGTTAGGCGAGAAGACAGAGGACACACACACACACACACACACACACACACACACA